AACATAAGCAAAAAGGGGGAGTGGGGAAAAGCATAAGCGATTTTAGAATTTTTAGGATTTTTTACGAATTTTGACAGTTTTTTTTCTAGAGAATTTATGGAAAAATTTCAGATTCCGGTGATTTTTTCGACGAAACTTGAATTTTTTCGACTTAACTTTCCAGTTTTCGACGTGTTTTTCCTAGTTTTCGATGAATCTTCAACCGAAATTCTAGATTTTTAGAGAGAGAAAAAGAGAAAAGAGGAGAAGAGAAAGAGAAAGAAAAAAGGAATCTGAAGACAAACGAAAATTTTAGCCTTTTATACTTATGTAAAACAATGTCATTTTAGCTTTATTAATCCTAGAGGATCCGTACGTTTATGCTTGGGCCAACCCGACCCAAGCGCCAACCCGCTTGATCGACCCGCTTTCCATCCAACCTTTCAGTCAAGCCGAGCCACGTCACTTGAGCCGTGCCTACGAGCTGTTTTTGTGTCTCAAGCCGAGCCGCTCTTTGATATTTTTTTATTTTTATTTTTATTTATTTATTTTATAAAATAAATATATAAATTTTCATCAATTAATACTTTTGCAGTAGTAATGTTGGTTAATATAAGCACACCCCCTAATATCCACAAATTTTTTATTAATTGATATTAACTTATAAAATGTGAGTTTATGAAGTTTTTAATGTTTAATTATATTTAAGATATTTTACAGCTTTATATATGTTTTTTAATGATGCAATATGTCAATTAACACGAGGCATCTAACTTAATGTCAATTAACAAGAGGCATTTAACTTAATTAATTCTATTTCATCTTCTTCGATTCATGTTGTTACACTTGTGACAAAAATTGAACTCTTATTTAATATGTTTAGATGAAAGCATTATGTTTGCAGTCTTCAAAATATCATAAGGCTTTTTTTCTTTTCTTGGGTGCTAAAAATTTAAGACTTTTAATTTCTTTGGCAGCCAATATTTCATGCAAATGGTATCATGACATAAACATGAGAAAACTAGATGAAATATTATCAAACCTTTTTTGGGCTTTAATTCTTTTTTTTTTTTTTAACTGGAGGAGACTATAGCATGAAAATTTACAGATGTTAAAAATTTAATTTTAAACTTATTAAATGTCACTCTTTAAAAGATAATTGTAAAAATCAGATGACTCTTAATTGTAATTAGCATGCAAATTCAAGATAAAAGCTCCAAAACATTTACAGCACATGCCGGTTCTAGCAAAAGAAAATTTGATTTACAGCCACTCATATGGGAATTGAGAATATGCCATAAACTTTTTTTCACAAGTAAGACCCGACATATCTTTATATTAACAACTACTTTTAGATTTTTCTCTATCACAAGAAAATTCTCAAAAACAAGTATTAAATACATAAATATCCCACAGAAGATACAAATTAATGTTGCGTCAATCTAAACCATTTATATAGGAAATTAAATTTAGGATATGCACATATAAAAAGATTTTTTTGTATGAAGAAATCAACTGAAAGTGAACCTTAAAAATAGAAAAAAAAATTTTAATTATTACTCACTGCTCAAGTAGTATTTTCACGCATTATAATTGGTAAGATTGGAGAACAGGTATATCATTCTAACCCCTTCACTCAATGTCCAACTCTCTTGCTCCTTTCTTTCATCTCTTACTTTTTTCTTTCACTTGTTTGAATTGAGCATTAAAATGCACTCTGAAGTCTCAACTCCAATGCCCTTGACCATACTCTCTCCTTGCAAGTCCTTCCTCTCTCCAAAACATCACCCAATGAGGTCCGACGTCACCACCACCCAAAATATCATCAGTAAGCAAGATATCTATTATGATGCAAGGTAGTTATAAAATACTATTTTTAAAAAAATATATTTTTTCATATTTAATGTTTTATTCTCGTTGAGTTTGATAGTTTGAGTCGTTTAGCATCTCTTTGTCTATGACTATCCCTGTCGAGTGTCGTCCAAACCTTTAAACTTTGTACTTTCAATGAACATATTCTTTGCTACCTTCCGTAGTTCTCTTCTTGCTTTCCAAACAATGCACCATACATGGAAACAGATCAATCTGGTAAAGTTCCAAATTACGCATCTATCATTAACGTAAGATCTTTGATCCAATCTATGGCAGCTTTTATTGATTGATCACAGCACCGCTAATGCCTTGGAGAGACATGTAGAATATTACTTGCTTGCATGTATATGTTCTTTCTTCGTGATAGAGTTTCGTTCTTCAATTTCTTCGGGGAATAATAGGGCTTAAAGCAACAAATTTCTTGTGCAATTCCAGCTCGCTCATGGAATTCGAACCCCGATTTGGTATACGATTCGTCGTCAGAACTTTTATAACTATAATTTCATACATTCAATAGTCTTATTCTTAAATTTTTATCAAGATCAATTTATGGAAGTCATACTCGAAGAATTGATGTTTTGTTTTGCTTTTTAATACATCAAAATCAATTTCAAAATATCTCATGAATGGGAATTAGTGGCGAGCCCACTAGGAAGGTTCATAATTTGATTTTAATTGAATTAATTAATTAATTTAATTTAATTCGATTAATCAATCGATCATTAAATTAATTTCAATCGATTATCAAAAATAATTTTTAAAAAATTTAGTTTTTCGATTAATTCGATTCAAAAATCGAATTAACCGAAATATTATTAAATAAATATATAAAATTAAAACTATATGAAATTGTCCATTTCATTTTAAGTTATTAGAGTTTTTAACTTAACATTTTGGTATTTGAATATTTTTGTTAAATAATTTTATTTAATTTATTTTACATATAAAAAAATAAAAATTTAAAATAATTTAATTTAATATATTTTATTATTCGATTAATCAAAAAAATTATCAAAACAGACCAAATTAATTCCGGATGATTAATTTTTTAAATTAAAATTTTTGTTTGAATTAATAAAAATAAAATAAAATAATTTAATTAATTCGATTTTAAATAATTTAATTCAAAATTAATCAAACGAATGACCAGGCCTAAAGTCCTGACTAATTGCCTTACCATTTGCTCATGCCCACATTAAAATTTCTATAGAATACAACGGTAAAAACTAGTTTCTATCCAAAACAACAGTAAAAACTGGTTTAGGTTTTCTTTGATCGGCAAATAGAGTTTCCAAATATTTATGAAATAGATTAGACAATAGCTAGAATTTAATTAATTCATAAACCAAGAATTATATTGATTTAAGAAATAATTTTTCAAAAATATTTTAGTACTTTTCTAAATACTGTTAGGGGTATTCTCAAGTTTTATCTCAAACTATATATTTTTTTTCGAATGGTCATAAAAGACGTACTTCATCACATCGGCCTAATACATTAATAATTTTATTTTCAGAATGCTATTTACAAAAATTATAATCTTGGTTGAGAACAAAAGAGAATTTTTTTTTTTTTTATCAACTAAGAAGGAAATATAAATACTTCAGACCAGATAGACACTATTTCTTAAAAAAGAATTCATAAATAAATTGAATTAAACTTTAAATTTATGATATTTTATTACTTTATTAAATAACAATTTTAATTAATATTATTTTTCGTAAGTTTCTAAGACTATTTAATAAGTTTTGAGTCTGCTATGCTTGGTATGAAGGGTCACAAAGCGGCTTCTTCTTCCGCTCTCTAATCGTGTAAAAACCCTATCTTAACGTATGATCGTATCAACCAGATCACGTAAGTCTTGAGTTCAAATCTCAAGATGGATAGAGTGATATTTACATAATAAAAAACTATTTTTGGTTGTGCAAATTAATATTATTAAGTATAAAAATAAATAAATAATATTTTATTTTATTGAATATCTAATTTAAAGTTTTTTTTATTAAATATGTGTGGCATTTAGGGCTTTTATTGTTCTTTAAAACTTTAGTTAAATATGTGTATTAACTCCTCGGTAAAGTTTCATTCTTCTTCTTTTGACCTCCAGAAAGTTTCATGGTTCTTATTTTTGGATAACTTCTATATAAGCCTTTTTTTTTTTCTCTAATTCGTATTTGACCAACAAATCAGGGAAGAAATAACATTCAAAAATGAAAAAAAAAAAAAAAACGATTAATTACTTCATATTTTTTAAAATTTTATTTTAAACATTATTTAGCAATTGAATTTATATATTTGATACATTAATAATATATAAACTCTATACGCTATCGTTAAATTACATATTACCACATCATCAATAAATAAACTTGAAAACTTTTTTTGAAGGTAATAAACTTGAAAATTAAAAACTTTTTAAAAATAAATTGAAGTCAACTTTTATTATTTATGTTTTAAGACTTTAATTTTTTAAAATTTAGTGATGAATTATATGACATCCTATGATTTAATGATAGCATATATAAAATTTATACACGAACAATACATCAAATATAAGTCCTTTACAATATCTGGATTATGCAAACTGTAAAATCAATTCTACAACAAGATTCAAACCCTAATAAACTCAAATTAAAAAAAAAAAAAAAACTCAACTCCACGAAACAAATCTCACATTAATATATTAACAAAATATTAGTATAGTTCTATATATTAATTAGTATGAACTTTTTTATTATAAAAAAAATTAGTACACTACTCCAAAACCATAAACCCAATTTCACCACATAAAAATATGTTTAGTCAATGTTTCAACAAATCTGTATATACGTTCAGTCAAGATTCAGGGAAACTGTTGCCTACGCCTAACACAAAGCCTTATTATGGTTAGTAAGGCTAACAGTAGCCATATCCTCGGCTTTCAATGGAGAACTTAAAGCCCCCACCGTTAGCCTAAGTAAGAGTGCGGGATTGTGAGTGAGAAGGAGCCACCATCTTGGCTCTTGGCAGTTTTTAGCATATCAAAAAGTTCGTTCAGACAAGATTGCAATTCTTTATGTTCACAACACTCGATGAGATTTGCCAAAATGTTGCTAAGATTAGTTAAAATGACCATTAACAAGGTCAGAGGTACCAACATACAGACACTATTAAACCAAACAGATTTCAGCAAATGCATAGATTAGCAGAAAGTAAATATTACAGTACTGGCACAAGATATAGAACATTCCTAATCCAAGAAAAAAATCCAGGGTGGGTATAATAAAATGCAGTTCTTTCCTGGTGGCAAAACACCTCATCCCCATCATACGACATCCCATTCCTCTATACATTTTGAGAACCATAACACCTGAACTATTTAGCTACCCACCCTTATGCCCTACAGGATTATCCTTCAAATAGAATCCAACAAAATCCAAATATCTAACAAGCCTTTTGTTTTTCCTGAATGGTCCCTTGAGACTGAAATTGTTTTCTGTTTCTTCTGAAGGTACAATATAGGAACCTCAGATGTTCAAAACAGGCCATTTGAAAGTTGTTGACAAGCTTTCACTAGCTAAACAAATCCACTTCTCTAAAACAAGGTCAGCCGTGTGGGGGATGAAAACGTTAGTCAAAGTCAGAACCACTCAAGTCCACAGACTGTATGTTAGTCATGGCAAGCAAAGCTAGGGCTCGCTCTTAACATATCTAAACCAGAAAACCAAGCAGCAAGGTGGTTCACTGTAAACTGCTGGCCCTGCCAGTTGCAGGTATAGAGGCAGCTTGGGGAAAAGAGTGCTGAACCATCATATTGTTGCTATCAAAAGCATTGGCAGATGATGTGCTGCCCTTCACAGTTTGCTCCAAAAGATGAACAAGTGACATAAATATCTCCACCCTTGTAACATCCCTGTTTGCCTGTACAAGAAACTCACATCAAATGTCTAGCATAAAACACACCTAACATGCAATTTAAAGAAATGGTTTACTGTATTTTCGTGGTGTAAAGAAGAAACAAATCATAATGAATAATACATAAAACCCTTCTTCACAATCAAACTGCTAACTAGATACAAAAACTACTTTGCTACCATTTTAACATAATCTAATTATTTTGAAAAAGTGTATGTTCTTACATAGAAATGTCTCGATGCATTGTTTTCCTTCCTGATCAACGGCAAAAGAATGAACCTAGACTATAGATGAATTAAGATTCAGAACTAAGACCTAAAATTTAGTACTTCAATTACAGGTAACTCCTCAAACTAAATGTTTGATTAGCTTTTTGCTAAAAAAACAATTCCACAATTTCTTTTGGCCAGATTGCAACTACAAATAATTTTAGCATTTTTTTTGACAAGTCCAACTCAAGTGTATGCAGCATGGTAACAAGCCCGTGAAGAGCTTTTACAACCAAGTTGCAGGGCTAATTGCAAATCTTCTGCCACATAAACAAAAATGAAAGGAATTTTAACACAAAGTCACTTCCATCAGGTTAAAAGCTATAATACCAAGTATTTTATTGCAATAAACAACAGAGGAGAATGAGGCAATGAGAAATGTGGAGGATATAAAGCCATTTAGGTTGTGAAACAATAGTTACTCGACTATTTCATAATATACATATTTAACAGTCATATTTGTGTGATAAAAGTGCATGAAATATGCAAATTTGGTGGAAAAGAGACAATAGCTGAATGAACTAGAGTAATTTGGCTCCAATGGTAAGTCATCAAATCCAGCAGTGCCATCAATGAATTCTTTAGTTTAACCACTATCAGGAAGTTTTAACCGTTACGTTAGTTTCCAGCAAAAGAGGATCATTATAATATGAGTGCACGAAGTTGCTCTAAAGTCCCTAACCATGGTCTAGCTAAATTTACTTCAGACAGAGACAATTGGAAACTGGCATTCTAGAGGAAAGTAGGGATATAGCTTTTTAACTCTTTCTACCCAAATTTATGCTCTCAATTGTACAAAAGTTTGTTCTTAACGGCTGCCTACTTGTCATCTCTTCGAATATTTTCTTTTATGAAATTGTTTAAGATAATTCAAAGAAAGGTAGGTATCACAAAAAATTTAGTTATCCTTCTGCATATAAATGTGATATTTAACAACTATAGAAACCAGTAACTACATTGCCTCTACAAAATCTATAATATCCTGGCAAACATTGCTACATTCTTCTCATTAGCTCTCTGCTTAATTACTGCAATGTAGAAATGTAATTAGACTGCATAATATTTCTCAAAACTCATCTCCTATTACTTGTCTATGTTGCATGACGCAGAAAAAAGATTAGGCACATGAATATCTTATTGCTTTTTTATGACAGAACAATAGGTGAAAAATCTATTGGTAAGATTGACCAGAACAAAATTCTATTGGAATGGCCAAGGATCATTGCAAGATCTTACCTCCACTGCGAAACGTGCCCAGATCTTGTCATTCCTAGTTTCCATAACCCCTTTCAAGATGGTCAATCCCAATCCCCTGATTAAGTCAGCTATTTCAAGAAAGAAACCCCGTTCTTCACAAAGCATCTGCCACAGCATATAAATACAATGCAGTCACACAGATGGAACAAGAAAGATAAATGATCTCTAAGCCATATTCAGATACAACTATAAGAGTCCCTACCTCCACAAGCATCTGACGAGGAGGATTCAGATCCTCAACCACAATAGGGCAGATCCTAGATTGTGATCCAACCTCAAATGCCCATGTTGCCCCTCCCTCAAAGTTTTCCTTTATCTGCAAACTCAAACAAGAGTAACATCTTAGCAGTAAAGAGATTCTTGTTCTAAGTTTACTTTGAGAAGGACAAAACTTCAAAAGTGGTATCTATTCAAACATCTCAAAGTCTAAGTTTCAATAGATACAACGTTTGTGCAAAATACCAAAATGATATTTATTGTACTCAACACATCAGAAAGAATAGAATATGCATATAAAAAATTGCTTCTGATAAATGCTCAAACAAGTTTTGCTTCCTGTTTACGCATCTGAGATAGCAGCTGGAAAGCATAGCACAAGGCAAACCTTTTGACGCAACCAACTGGAACAAGATTTGATCTATCAACTTCCTAAAAGGTTGGATAAATACAGTAACTAGGTTATCAGCATGAAAAATATCCATACCTTAGACTCTCCCGTTTGTTTTAGCTTGTCTGCATGCTTTGTTACACTTTGCAGGAAAAGCATGTGCTTGATGGTTTTTTCTAGTAGAGCATCTATGCTACACTGTTGAATCACAGTAAAGAATGGAATTAATGACAATATTTACTACAGTACAGTACAGTACAGCACAGCACAGCAAAGAATGATGTGGGTATATCAAGAGGTTAAAAGATGCATTACTTTTGCTCCATTTGGTACAATTTCCCTCAACTCTTTCACTCGATCTTGGATCATCTGGCGATCTTTTGGCCTCGGTCGAGGGTTCTCGCCAGGTTTTAGCCTTTTGCGATTTGGTTTGGTCATTTCATCATTCCTCTTTGAATATGCGGTTGAGACACTGCTATCACGCCTTGAATTATGACCCTGCTCAACCCATGAACTGATTTGAGACCCATACATAGAAGTAGTTTGAGAACAAGTCCCAGCATCATCCTTGCTACAGCCAGATCGATAAGAACTGGATGGGAGAGTTCCTCCTTTCAACAAAGACTTAGGAAGGCCACCAAGCAACTCCCCTTGCACTTGATTGGAAATGTTAACCTGGCCAAAGGTCGGAGAACTACTAGGAACAGAGGAGTTACTGAACTTTGTCAATGTTGTCCTGCAGGACACATCGTCATCTGATATCTGCTTTGCAGCAGATTGTGCACTAGAAACCACAGCATCCAAAAGATGATCCGAACCCATCCCAGAGTAAATACCCTGGTCTGATATCCCTTCATTAGCTGAAAAAATATCAGAAAACACATTCAGCATATCCTTAAATATTGAAGTATCATTACCCGGATTTTGCATCTTCAAATCTGGTCCCTCAGCAAGCACATTATTCCTTTTTCCATTGAGTAGTTTAGTTTTTAAATCTGCCCCCAACACATCAAACAAGTCATCCCCTGATGGAGGCTGGATACATGTATCTTCATACTTAACATTTAAGGATCTAGTACTCAAACTTTCACTTTCATGCTGCAGGCAATCATAAATAGCACTTGAGAGTTCTTCACTAAAAGGTGTGCCTTCATCAGCATGGAGCAATGGAATACTAAGTGCTTGAAACAAATCATTATCTATACTTTCTTTCTTTGGAACCAAATCAGCTTGCGTGCACTTAGAATCCTCAAAATCATGCCCTTGATTAGCAACTCCTGAAGGCATACAAGTACTAGTTAATTGGTTGGCCAGGATGGATAAAGGAACCTCCACTCTAGATGAACCAACTATCTGAACCCCGCTCCCTGCCAATTGTCTGCAAGAGGAAGTAACATCTTCTAGTTTCTGCAAGTTTGGAACAATACCTGGGACTGATTTTGATTTCATTTGACTATTTGATGCACTAGTGCTGTTGATAACATGACTTCGTAGACCAGTATCTAACAAAATCTGTTGCTCCATTGATTTTATGCTGCTATGACTGGCATTCGATTCAACAATTATGGGCTGACAATTGAACCCAGACCGTGAGTTGCAAAAACCAACTTGAGGATCCAGCCACAAAGTTTGGTTTGACGGAATTACTTCAGCACCAACAACTCCACAGTCCATCAGACTTTTAAAATTTTGGTTTGATTTCATCTCTGGACTGATTTTTGATTCACAGTGGCCATCATGAGATTTAGCCATAGTTTGGGTCATGCCAGGTAATTGGGATGTTGAAGCAGTACCCTGTGAGTTTTCTTGAATCTGTTTGATAAGCGAAGATGATTGACCAATAACCCTTGAAGCCTGAGACGGATTGCTTTGTTGGTTGCAGCCTTCAGCAACTGAAGTTATGGAATTTATAGACCTAAAAATTCCTGCCGAATCCATTGAAATGGGCTTTGCTAAAGAAATGGGAATCCCAATTTTCTCAATGCATTCATTTGTTCCATAGCTGTTAGAGAGAAGAGCTCCAGAGATGCATCCCAAACGCAGAATTAAACTCTTCACATCATTCACAAATCCCATGTTCTCCACAATCTGAAGGAGGAAGAACAGAGAAAAACTTAAGCCTCAAGGTGACAAACATGCTTTTGGCTTTATAAAATCAAGCATGCACAGGAAGGAGCAAAATCACTGAATAGCTGCCGCATTAGTGGCACTATCAGCTTGTAGACTAATATTTAAATCCTTTGTCAATGATATTTAAAGGGAACTGCAAAGCCCTCAGATATGACACTAGTTGTACCGTATGGAACCTAAATATAAGGTCATCTAAATCTATGAAAATGAACAGAGAGACACATACACCTCTCAGAATAACTGAAGAAAAGTTCACTTACTGTTGTGGAAGAACCAAGCTGAAGAACACCATGTGGAAGAACAGGAATAACTGAAACAGTCTGCAATGGATAGAAGTCTAATAATGAAGCAGAGGGATAATAACTAAATAATGAGCAACAGTAGAAGACTAGAGGTTGCCAAACCTGCATGCCAGCAGAAAATTGGAGACGCACCTCATGTAGAACCTAGAATCATCCACAAAAACTGTCATGTTAATTTCTGTTACTTTAACAATAACCACCACCTTTACCCTTTTCGTAAAAAGAAAGTTCATGAGAGAATATTTTATCTTTTCCATTCAGCTCCCATCTAAACCCATTATCATTAGTCAGAGTTCATGCACAGAACAAGAAAAAGTTTGTCAGGTTTAACATTTGACACATAGAAGCCAGGAAAGAATTTAAAATTAATACATGTAGAATCATGCACTAATCACATACAGTACAATCAGCATTTCTTCTTAATTAAGATAGAACTTTTATTGTAGCCATTAGCCATTGTCAGAAGCTACAATTAGTAATATACCTCTAGGGGGTGGGCATCTGTGATGTAATTATTTGCAAGAATCCACTGATGATTTCCAGTAAATGCAGCTCGGCCAACTAACCTGAAAAACAAAAGTAAGCAGCATCTCACATATTTGAGTAAAACAAGGCAAAGAACTTTAAAATGTAACATTAATCTGTAAGTGGAAAATTGGAAAATGGAGAAAAGCATACCCTTGACCTACTACACTAATTCGATTATTCATCATCATTTTGTTAATCAGAAAATGGACTTTGTCCCATGGTTGACTCCCAAGCTGCGAGGAAATTTCTGAACCCCAGCATCCCTCCCACTCTCCAAATGAAAATTCAGGGTTTTGAAGGCCAGTAATGCATGGAGGGATAGAAGAAAGTGCAGGTTCATAGTAACATTCCTCCCAAATTAGTAAACTGCAAAGTGTAAAATACACAGTTAAGACCCAGGCAGGTAAAAACCTATTGGGGGTAACAAGTTTTTAAAAGACTAAAGAAAAAGTAAATTGTCCAAGTTTCTAATATTGTTTCTTCTCTCTACATTTTCTCCAGCAGCCAAACAGGCCATGACATAAAGCAACTAATAGCAGATTCTACTCGAGCAATGATAGATATGGCAATTTTGCTATATTTAAAACAGGTAAAGTTAAGGCCATAGGCCATAGAATCAAACTAAGGAAAGTAAAATTCTGAATCAATGGATTCTTCAGCAATAGACCAGTCCAATACAAAGAGGGTTTCTTGTCAAACTTAAATGCATATATACTTTCACTAAGATTCTTTAAGACAAAACAGAATAAACCAAACATAAAGTTTCAAAAACAGAAAAGAAAAGCAGCATCAGATTTCGAATCAAGAAAAAATTACAAGCTAACAGTAACCCATCAAACTTTAACATGTCTAAAAACAGTTTTGCACCTCAAGAGACCAAAAAAAGTACTACGCAAGAAAAGCCTTTCATCTATGTTGGATCTCCTCCTCTGTTTGGTGCCAAGAAAATCATTAAAAAAGTTTACTTTTTTTAACCCATCATAAGAGAAAGGAAAAGAATACTATAAATTCAGTTTAAATAGCTAGATATTCCAAAAATAGAATCAACCCCCCCCCCCCCCAATAAAAAAAAAAAGAGAAACAAAAAATATTTAGTAAAATTAAATGAAAATACCAGCATAAGGCAGATTAAGTAAAACTTCAGTTCACTTGAGTAACCAGACCATAGCAAAAACATGCACAGCACTATACAGAAACACCAACTTTCTCTTCTTTTTCCTTCATCATTCTCCACAACCAAACAACCCCAGGGAAAAAAAGAGACAAAGCAGAAACAAAAATAAAAGAAGAAAAACTTACTTAGTATTCTGGCAGCCGATCTTCCAAAAAACAGCATAAGACCACTGACTCACCCGACAAAGTGACTTCAAAGCTTCTTTCAACAAACCACCCATAGCTCTTCTCTTTTTCCTTCTTCTCTCAAATGTATATCAACCAACAAATATATATATATATATATTGTACGCAAAGCAACCAACAAAAACGACTCAAACTGCAATCTTTATAGTATCCCAAATTCATAAGAAAAGAAAAAAAAAGCAGCTAAAGCTAGCTTCCTCTGCAAGAGCCTCTACCAGCCTGCTTTGTTCTCAACCCACCACTTCTTTTTCTTTCTGGATCCAAGTTCCCTGTTATCATCCTCCTGCAACCCCTCCCCATCAACCCTTTTTTATCTTCAACAAATACTACTAAAACAAAGCAAACAGATGAAGAAAGCTTTAATTTTTTTCTCCTAGATGATGCCACAAGCTTCAAGCTTGAAGATAGCCAAAATTTGATGCATGTTTTCACTTCCAAAAACAACAAAAAATGAAAAAGATACAGGCCCACAAAAAAATAGACAGAAAAATAATAATTTGAGAGAGATTTTGGGATTTCTTTCCCTTTTTTTGTTTTTTTTTTTTGTCACTGTTTTGAGTTGAAACTTGGGAGAGCGTTTCTTATCTCAGTTTAGCCAGTTCACTCTTCTTTTTTTTTTATTCTTCCGCCAAAGTGCGCTCCATTAAACTCAATGGTTTGGTTCTCAGAAATAGGCAGGGAGTTTAACTGAAATTACTGGGGATGCCACTTATTGAAGAATAGTTTTGTCGGGTTCTGACCTTTTGGATAAATTATTAAAATGAATTTTGGGAAAAACAAAAAGAAAATTAAAAAAAAAAAAAAAAGCTGTTCTGTTTGTTTGTTTTAGTCAGACATATGTAGGTGAGTCTTCGCATAGAGAGATGAGGTGGGTGAGTGCGGGCTGCTGTGTGAGATGACGTCATGTTTGTCTTAATGCCCTTCTTGTTTCAACCAAATTACCAAAATGCTAACGAAAATTACGTAAACATGTTTTCCCTTTTTTTTAATAATCTAAAAATAGAGTAATTTGTGTTTTATTTTATAAAATATTTTGGATAAATAAATTATTTTATCAAAGTCAAGTAAAAATCTTTAAATTTAATAAGGATTCGTGTATTCAAATTTTGATTTTACAATTTTTGATTCCACGGTCACAAGTCACAACATTTTAATTTATATTAATAAATAATTTTTAAAATATTTTAATTGAATAATTTTAAATTTTATTAAAATTTTGATTTAATAAAAATTTTATGATTACAGTAAAAAAATTTTATGAAATCAAAAATTAAGATAGTATTCGAACTGAAATTTACTTTTATTGAAATGAATTAAATTCATCAATAAATTAATTCTTTTTTTTCATTGGTGGATGAACTTATTTATTATCAAATTCAAATTCAATTTTTCTAATTGAGATGGATGAATTTACTACGGATACAATTTGAATGATGGATTGAAATGTAATAAGAAATGTGGATGAGACTGTAGCATATGCCTTGTGATTTAAGGCAGGGATATGTCCAGATGCTTATGATGAATGATTAAGAAGTTGAGAACAAGCACATGACGAAAAGAACTTGACTCTTCCTCCATTATTGTCTTCTCTCATCTTTCCTTTCTTTGCATAACACTTTTTTTTTTTTTTGATAATTCCCCCTCTTCCCTTGATTAGAAAAAGTGGGAGCTTTCTTGATTTAAAAAAAAAAAAGACTGGGAAGTTTCTTGTATTCTTTTTTTTGGCTTCATTTAAAATAAAAAATTGCTTATGATTTAAATCCAAATACAAATTAGTTATTTAGTAGTTCTAGTTGGCATATGTATATTTTTTTAATGTAATTATGGATATTTTTAAATTTTATTTTGACTTAATTTTTAAAAAATTTTAACGATATATTTTCGCACATCATAAATTTTTTCTTGAAATACTTTCTTACAAATTTTGATCAACAAGATTTATTTGCATATATATTTTTTGTTGTAATTTTTTTATACATCACAAAATTCACAAAGTCTCATCTCATCTTTCAAATGAGAATAAAAAAATTGTAAGTAATATAATTTAATTCTCAAATTTACTAAATATTATTTTTTTAAAATATTACATAAATCAATTGAATTAAATTTTGATTTTTCAAAATTTATTCTCAACATATAGTTCCAAATTCTAATCATTGAGATATTTTTATGCAACATTTTTTTGTTATGATTTATACATTTATAAGAGTCATATAATATAATACATCATGGAATAATAAATCAAAATTAAAAAAAAAATTCTCAATTTATAACATGATAATCAAAATCATGATTACCTTTGGGTATTAGATTTAATTAGGAGCATGGAGTTTTCACAAGCAAATTGGTAAAATGAAAGTGGAGACATGTTTGTAGTAATAAAATAAGTAGAAGTAACTAAAGTTTATTGTGTCTCAAGTCTTTAGTCTAGTAATTAAAAGTGTTTGAGGGAATATCAAATATCTGGTTTCGAATCAAACCTTTTTTTTTTCTTATTTATACTAGAACTTTGTCCTCTTGATATAATAAAATAAAAATAAAAAGTTTATTGTGAATCAAGTAAATTAAGGAATGAATGATCTGCATCCGAAATAAAATCAATTATACATAGGAAACATTGAAAGCTGCAGGTTTTCTTGCATTTTTCTGGATACTGACAGTCAAAGAATTGTCATCTTTCATGTCATGTTTCAGTGTTTTAGAATCAACACATTAGTAAAAACTGCAATTTTTTGTCCCTTGATCTAAGGCATATGCACAAGACAAGTCCTTTTCTCCAGTTACCTGGACAAAGAGATTCCTTGTTTCAAGTCTTCTAAGTTTCAATTCAATTGAATTTGCCTTCAACCCCACCCCCAAAACAAATCCTTTGGGTGTGGTGGGGAAAAGGAAAAATCCCAAATTTGAGATGAAAAAAGAAGGAATGAGTGGGTGGGATTCACATTCACTTGATTCTCAAAGGAAAATTGGAAAATATACCATAAAAAAAAAAAATCCTTCTCCCATAATTTACATTATTTTCTAATTCTTATATGCGGATATTTGCATCATATATTTAGTTTTTTCATAAAGAGTTCATTAACTTACATGTTTTATCATTTATGGACTCTACTCCATTTATTTTTTTTTTGTCTTTTTGGATATTGTTCTTTGAAATATAGATAGCAAGATAATAAACAAGATAAATATAATTATTAAGATTTTTCCTATTTTGTTTGGATTCCTTATTAAACACTATAAAATGCATTTTTTTAGTTTAAATAATCTAATAAGTTTATGCTAATTCTTTTATGTTGATTAAGTTTTGTTTCTAGATGTCTTGAAACACGCAATGCAAACCAACTATATCATTGAGGTTCAACTCATCCCCCTAATTCTACAAATTTTGAGCCAATAACCTCTAGAGCCCTAAAGTTAAAAAAATAAAAAATCCATTGCTTTAGAACCTTGAGTAAAAACATGTGTAAAGCTAATTATATAGGGTAAATAATTCTAAGCTATAACCCCAAAAGTTTTAGATTAGCCATGCATTGTGTTGAGCCCTTAACCCTTTCCTCCGTCTCCCAAAAGTAGGCATTTTTTTTTTACTTCCAATTTACTTGGGAAACCAAAACCTTGATCACAAAAACCTTGGTTTCATTGGATTCATGGCCTTCACATTCTCTTGGCAATATAACTGATGATTACGTGCATTTCATGTTACAATCAAAGTGGGTTCCTCATGTACCTATAAACCTAACATTTTAGGCTACTAATTAATTAAAAAATAAATTAAGATAAGATTAATAATTCATTATAATGTAATGTTTTCATTGTTCCTCTTCTTTATCTCATAATTCCTTTCTTGGTTCTTGTAGTCTTTGTACAACTTAAAACAGACATTTCCCACTTATTTAATCAAATCCAAGGCAATTCAAAATAAAAATATTTAAAATTTCTTTCATACATATGATTTTATAATTCTTTTGCTGTTGTGTTCTATTCTTTTCTTGCTCTTTGTAGGAATTTTTTTTTTTTTTTTGTGTTTTGGTTGGTTGACATGCCAGTTATTGTCTCAACCTAATTAATTAATTATTTGTTTGAAAAATTAATGATAAAAAAAGACTGAAAATTACTTCTTGGGTTCTTGTGTATACTTGTTATGCTTCTATTTTAGGCTGTAGCTTTTAGTAATTTACTATTAAGGGTTTTAATTAAAATATTAATATATATAATTAATAATCAAAATATTGATGGGTGGCGGCTTGCTTGTTAGGCCAGTTGGGTAGATATGGCAGAGCAAGAGTATAATTTCCCTACATGATGATTTCTAAACCCATTGATTAAACCCAATTTCTGACCCTACAAAATCAATGGCTGTGATTGATTATTGTGGGCCATACACATAAAAAAGAAAAAAAAAGCTGGTGAATTTAGCAAATAAAGAAATTGGTGGGATGGCATAAAAAGATGGAGCAATAGTTGCAGACACATGATACTGTGTGTTCCTTTTTTGTGCTTTGTTACTTTTAATTCATATCTATTCTCTCACTGCAGTTTTTTTTTTTTTTAATTTGTAGTATAGTAATTTTTGTGGGGAAACGGGTTAAAAAAAATTCCAATTGGCATATGAATGTGCTCATTGTTGACAGTAAAAAATTGGTTTTTTTGACTGACAATTTTTTTTTTTTTCTAACTATTGGTTGTTTTGGAATTGCATTCATTTTGAGCAGAGGGTAGGGTATGATTTACTCAATCAAACATAAAAAAAAAAAAAAAAAATGTAGAAAAATGAAGCCTGAAACTTCTCCTCAACAGTGTGGTCTGAGATGAAAAAAAAAAATTTTCTATTGAAAAAGTATGGTATTATAGATGATCTAACTTTCAAGTGCCAAATTCTGTGCACGCTGAAAGAGTGCACATGATGTACGCATAGAAAATCATCTTTTGTAGTACAAAAAAAAAATGGTATAGCATTATTTTATAAAAGTATATTTTATTTATAAAAAATTTATAATAATCAATAAATTAATTAATCAACTCAAATAAAAACAATCTAAAATTGGATTAAACCCATTCATGATAACACTTAAATTGTTTTTCGTTTTTATCATAAAGATAAATCAAAGGTATTTAATTGATTTTTCTTTATTTTTGAAAATAAAACGTAGCAAAAATGAATTGTAAAAAATAAAAAAATAAAAATCACATAGAGCTTTAGATTACTATGAACAAGATTACAAAAAAAGGCATGTATAGTAAATCAATCTTAAAACTAAGTCTTTAATTTTAAGGGATTCGGATATTGGTTTAGATAGCAACTTAAATATCGTGATAAATTCTTGAGACTTAAGGAAATTAACTGGAATTTATAGAAGAATAAATTTAAACAGAGAAAGCATGCAACAACAGTATAAAAATAAAGGTACAGATGTAAAGGCAGAAAATCATTGAACAAGTTGGTTAGCATATCTTTCTCATGTATGGAGTATGGACAAACAAGTTACATTTTCATTGCATCCCGGTACGACTTCAATGTCATAAGATGCTTTTATTGATGAATTGTCAAGGGGATGTCTTTTTTTTTTTTTTTCATTGAGCGGTCAAAAAGTGAATTTTTTATTATTAAAATTAAAATTTTAATATTTTATTA